CAAATCAATTCAGTTTCCTGATCTGAAAAGGGGGGGGGCTGGAATTGGATTAAGCAAACCTAGGTAAGCACCTACTGCATACCCATGTTCATTGGTAGACAGTTTCCTCTCTAGAGAAATCTACTTCAAACAAATTACAGAACTGGTATTCTCACACCTTATTTGCCCCCTTCCCACCAAAAAAAAAGTGCAAGAGATTTGTACTGGATATACAAAGAAACTGTCTTTTTCTAGGGGAAAAGTACTGAGGATACAAATTTAAAAGTGAAATAATTGCTGCTGCCAAAGTGTTATGGGGATAGACCACGTTAAGATCATAGCTCTAGAAGTGACCTCAGGGTTCCTCTACTTTGACGTCAGCATTTTGCCATTGAAGAAGCTGAGGTCCAGGGAGCCTAAGTGACTCATCTGAGGTCCCACAGGGAGTAAATGTCAGAGTTGGGACTTCAAACTACATCCTGTGGCTCTAGAGATCACCAAGCTGCCTCAAAGAAAGACCTGGCTTCTGTCCTAGCTTTGACCCATACTAGCTATGTTACCATAGACAAGCAACAATGTCTCAGTGTTCCCAACAGCAACTCTAGACTACAAGTTATGAAAGGATTTGTTGATCTGTGCTTTAGTAGTTAGAGGACACTGGACATGGGATTAGGGAGACCTGGGTTGGAGTCCTACCTCAGATGCGTACCAACTATATGGTACTGGGCAAATCACTTAATTCCACCTTGCTCATCTGTAAAATAAAAGGGTGTGACTCTATGATGTCTGTAATTTCCTCCAATTCAAAATCTATGATCCTGTGGTATGTACGCATTGGTAGAAAGAGGCAAAATGCTTGGAGTTTATTACAATCAACCAAACAGCATTTATTAAAACCTTAATGTGTTCCGGGCACTGTGCTAAGCCTTAAGGATACAAAGAAAGGTTAAAAAAAATGCCTACCCTCAGCTGCTGTCTTCCTTCTTTTCCTCCCCCCTTCCCACAAAATTGGACAACATGAGTCACGAATTCTTTGAACATTGAATTGAAACAATAAGTATACTTGAGACACATACCTTACAACAGGGAGGTGGGCTAGATTATTTTTCAAAGTATTTTCCAATTTAGATTGTGATGCTATAAACTCTGGCTGAACAAATGACTGCTGGTCCTTAGAAAAGCTCATTTCTAGGAATTTAGAACTATATAGGACCTTAGAGTTACCTCATCCAACCCTTTTCTTTTTACAGATAGAGAAGCTGAAAACCATAGAGAAGTGACTTCTCTAAAATCACACAGGTGCTAGGATCCAAACCCAGGTCCTCTGATTCCAAATTCATATTCTTCCCATCACAACCTTCCCCTACATTACCAGCTCACCAATTGCCCTGACAAGAGGCACCTTTCCCAATTCAGAATGAAACTAACAAGAAAGAGTATTATTCACAGTCAACATTTCCACTAATGCTGGGCTTTGACTGAAAGAGTCAGGAAAAGAAGGTTGTTGCCTCAAACTGTTTGTTTAAAAAAATAAATAAAAACAGCAAAGCTCCACGAGAGTAAATTGCTATTTTACTCCCTTAATGCACACCTACTCACTAAATCGTATCAATGTGAGGTACTATATGAGGTTATCTGCTGGGGAAAGTCACAGAATACAAAAAGTAAAGAAGTTTTACTATAATAATGTTACTTATTATACTTGTTTGTTAGAAGAGCTGGCTCTTCTCTCAATTAGGATTAAATGCTTCTTTATATTCACTTGTAACAAACTTTAATAAGAAACATAGGTACATAAAGCTTGCCTAACAGAGAGCTCCAATAGCCCATCAAATCTAATGTCAGTGCTTCAGAAGAAGAAAAAATAAAATGCCAAAATAATCAAAGCTAATTTTACAAACCAGCACATCGAAGAAGCCTGCCTGCTTCTGCCTTTTCCTTAGATTTGATCATCATACACAATTAATGCAATGATCACTCACTAATCTCATAATACCCTTATTCTCCCATTGGGCAGTGCTGTACATGTTTATCAGACACATGGCCACCCTCTTTGAACCCATGACTTCTCAGGATGATAAATTCATTTCCTCCTCTTTTTTCAAAATGATTATTTGCCTATAACAAAGTGCTTACAGCCCCTTCCTTTTTCTTTTCTTTTTTTCTTTTCTTTTTTTTCCCACAAAATGTTGCCTTTAATGGGTTTTCCTGTGTGGCAGGAAATCAAACAGGCTTAATGCTTTTAAGTCTTGAAAAGCCATTCATTGACTCCAAGCTATCTCTACCTTTAGGCAGTAAAATCCACCAGTCCTACAACCTTCCCACAAATAGACCAAACACAAGATGCCCCAGACAGAGTTGCCTAGCCCACCCAGTTTGGAGTTCATAAGCTTCCTTCAGCATCTCACTAGTCTCTTAGCCTCTTCTTCCCTCTCTCAGCTTCCCCATTCCTGCCCCAAGTCAGAGTTCAATGAAATCAATTCACCAGTGATAGAGGCATGTATTTAGAGAGACAGATTTCCCCACACAAGAGCAACTGCAACATAAATCACAGGAAACTATATGAAGAGGCTGTGAAAAGCCCAGTGAGCTTCTTAGCCCATTACACATTCAGTCTGGAATAATGACCCCTAATTTATTTTAGCTCCAGTGGTCTTTGGTGGTGACATTCTTAATCTTGCTCTGAAGATTTCAGGACACTTTTTATTGTCGTCGTCTTGAACTAGGAAATCTGACTCATTCTCTATCTGCTGAGTTGTTAATCTGTTCAAATGCTTCCCCCCAAAATAACCATCTGTCCTACCTTACATTCTTTCCTCTTCACACTATCTGAGCCTCAGTCTGCCCTGCTGGCTCATTCAGGGATCTGTAATTTCTCCTCTGCCTTTATGTCTGCTTGCTTATGTTTTAGAGTAGACAATAGAGGTGATATAGGCCATTATTCATGAGGAGCTTGGAGGGTAATGTGAGAAATGCCTCATCTCCTGACCCCTCTTAGCATAAGAATTGCTGATAAAATTTTCAACTGAAAGGGGAAGATTCTGCTGAGAAAATATCATCAAGATGCTCACTCTGGAGCAGTGCTCTGGAGAAAGGACCAAGGAAAACTTATTTCGCTTTACTGAAATGAAAATTTATAAAACATGCACAAAGGAGGTTGGACAATAATCAGGACAGTCAATTTCCCACAACCCATGCTAACAGAGGACAGGAAGCATGGTTAAGACAAATCCACAGATAATGCCAAACCCTCACATTAGGCAATAGTTTTGGTCCACTTTCTAATTCATTCATCCATTTAGTCACTCATACAGGCACTATTGGTACCTATTAGTGTCTGGAGTCTTATGAATCTGATCAAGAGAGCTTTAAACTGAAAATGTTAAGAGGTAGGAGTAAAGAGGGAGGTGCAACTGTTCATCTAGATCTACCAAGGCTGATACCATAGAAAGTAGCAGGTACAGCACAGGAAGAAGAGGGGCAGACAAGAGGCCTAATAATTAATAGGAGACAATATCTAAGAAAAAAATTAGCAATAAAGCCCATAACCGGAGATATCTACATACAAATGCGTAAAGTGGGGTAATAAATAGGGCACCTTGGAGATTCTAATTCAAAGATGCAAATTTGACCTCATAGGTATAGCTGAGACTTGTAGGGATGAAAATAATAACTTGAATATGGCTTAGGAATGGTACCTTATTCAAAAGGAACAGAATCAGTAAAAGAGGCAATGGATAATGTTGTATGTGAGGAAATCCAGTGCATTTGGCTGAAGATTTATGGAGGGAAAATGTCATGGGATTATACTATAGACAGCCTGGACAGAAGAAGGAATTAAATAATAAATTCTGGAAACATCATAAACCTGGCACAGAGACCAATATTGTTGGAGGACTTCATTTCCAAATCTTTGTTGAAGCTCTTAACTTCTCAAGCAAAACTGAATAGCTGGTAAATTTGTGATATGTTATAATAATAATTTCATCCTACAAAAAGATAGAGGAGGCAACAAGGGGAACTGTCTTTGCAGACCTGATTCTTAACATCAAGAGGAACTTGTTACTGGGAGAGAAATGAAGGAAATCTCTGGACATGGGGGTGCATGCTTGCAATCCTTGCTGGAGCATGGCTAAAGTCCACACTAAGTCCAGCATCAAAATGCAGAGCTTCTGGGAGTGCAGGGCCTGTCTAAGGAGGGGTGAATAAGCCAAGGTCAGAAATGAAGAAGGTCAAAACTTCTGTAGTGTTCAGTCACGGGAATGAGTCTATGAATGGCCACTGTACTTCAGGAAGGAAGGAAAGAAAGAAGGAAGAGAAGATGAATAAGAATTATGAGAAGCTCAGAGACAAGTAAGCATCTTGGGGACAAGTACATATGACATCATAAAATCAGTGATAAAAAAGCAGGAGGGTAGTCTGATGTGCATCTTAGATTTAGAAAAAAAATGAATTCCAGAGGGCTCAGTTAAAGGATGAGTAGGATGTGATGACTTAATAGTCTGCAGCACAAGTCAACCCAAAAAGGATAAGACGCTCTCAAAAGTGAAATTCTGAAGACATAAACAAAAATAATTCAGATGAAGAAGTAAAGGGAGTCTTACCTAAAAAAAACAAACAACTGATGTAGCCGCATAAGAAACTCATCAACCAACTCATACCTTTTGAAAACACGTATGTTTATTGATCCTTTGTTTTCAAAGAGAACCAATGACATTATGGGATGATGTCTTGACTTTCATGTTAATCAGATTTAAGTGAAGCAGAGTTGCACATATAGGGATAGGGTGGATACAAAGGAAAAGCATAGTCCTATAGGAATAGTTGGTGCAGCTAAGTGGCACAGTTGTCAGAGTGCCAGGCCTATTGTCAGGAAGACTCATCTTTGTAAGTTCAAATCTGGCCCCAGACACTTACTGGCTGTGTGACCCCGGGCAAGTCACTTAATCCTGTTTGCCTCAGTTTCCTCATCTGTAAAATGAGATAGAGAAGGAAATGGCAAACCATTCTAGGATCTTTGCCAAGAAAACCCCAAACAGGGTCACAAAGAGCCAGATACAAACTGAAAAATGATTGAACAACAAAAAATACGAACAGTGTCAAGAATCCTAAAATGATCACAAGCTGAGGCTGGTGGGCGATGAATGCAAAATGTTGTTTTTAGCCATTATAGGCAAAAAAGGGGATCAAAGAAGGGATAGTACCACTGTCTAAAGTGAATAGGATATGGATAACTGATGATTGTGTGGAGAAGATTCTTCATTTGCTTATGTTTTCTCTTTCAAGAAGGAATGACTTTTGGACTGGGAATAAAAAGAGGAGTTAGAGAGTTTAAATTGAAGATGTGAGGGTATAATTCCTATCCTCATTGAGTCCGAGTTCCCAAGCATACAGTATCCCAGAGTTCTGAAAAAAAATGGCAAATGAAACAGTTATTGGTTGAAGGATCATGGAAAATAGATGAGTTTCTAGATTTTTAGTAGCTGTGCAACCCTGGAAAAAATCATTTAACCTCTCCCAGATTTAGTTTTCTCATAGCATCTACCTCACAGAGTTGTTGTGAAGGTCCAAATGAGATAACATATGTAAAGAATTTTGCAAATCTTAAAGTGCTATATAAGTGCTAGTTATTACTATTATAATAAATATAATAATTATAAGTGCACAAGAAAAATATGAAATACCATAAGATCAGATGAAGCAACCTTTTGTTAGGATTACTCAGGAGGCTGACAAATCAATCTATCACATCTTCCTTTTGTTTCTGCCTCTGTTTAAGGTATATAGGTGAATAGTGTATGGCAAAAGGTGGGCAGGAGGAATGGAGAGGAGCAAAATGTCTGATTTATCATCATCCCTGACTGCAATCTGGCTAGTCATCCCTAAATACTTAAGAGCTTCCACTAACAAAATCATGCAGTCCTAACAGAAAACTTTTGCTTTAACATTTTCAAAAGTATTCTTCCCCAGCTCATATAATCCATGGGTTGCTGCCATTGAGTGAACAACTTGTGGAATAGTTATAGTATGATATGGTAAAGTCATATAAGAAGGGAAGGCACCTGATGGGTTGTGATCTGTAGCTTTTGAAGAAATGCTCACATAAATGAGATCACGTAACCATCAATTAAAATTCACGCCAAAAGAGCCCTATTGTGCCTGCTTTAACAGGCAAGACAAAGTCAGAGGGCAGTGGGTAATATCTCATCTGGCATATACAAAACCAGTTGTAGATTGAAAAGACCTGACATTCATTGTTTTCTTTCCTAACCCCTGGATAACTCTCTTGTGACTACCTAGATCATATTTTTCTGAACCATTCAGCCACTCTTTCATTTTATTGGATTATTTAATCCATTCACACTTAAGGTTATGATTGTTAAACTTATGTTTAGCTCCATTCATTTCTTTTGTATTGATTTGTATTCCTTCCTATTTTAAGTCAGCGTTTTTTCTCATAATTAGTTTTTCTTATACTACTTTGACTTTAGTCTATTTCCACAAGCTCTCCTACCTATACCCATTTACTCATTTAACCTAATATTTTTAATCTACTTAAAATTTTAGTTTCACTTTATGTCTTTGTATCTGTCACCATCACCATCACCTTCCACTGACCTCTTCATTCCTCTCTTTCCCCACCTATTATGTGGTTTAAAATTTTTTCTTATCCTTTCCCCTCCAACATATTAATATAAATAACGTGGTAACATTCTTTTGGCATACTCTTTTCCAATTTTTTTTTATTTTGTCCTTGTCTTCCTTTGTAACCTATTTTGAATTTTATTTTCTAATTCATTGCCTTTATCCTTACTTTATTCTTCTTTTTATGTCCCTCAAGAATGTAGATTATCCACACTAGCAAGCTTGAATTCCCTCTTCTATCCCATTCTACATTATTCAATTGGTAGTTTCTATCTTATTCTCCATTTTTCTGCTCTGACTCACTCTTAAAAGTATGTATTTATGAAGGAAGTAGTATGGAGGGACTTATATGTCACAGAACCAACAAGATGGAAGGCCAGACATTTTATCCAGTCCTCACAACCTCTCTAATCTCTCCAAAATAGCAATTATGCACCAGAGATAAAGCAATTTCAGCTGTCTCAATGGTCTATGACAGCAAGAACCCAAAGAACATAATAATAACTCCATGAACTAATACCTAATTGACACTCAGTCAGCAGGCTCCCACCCCCACCTCCCAATCACCTCCCTGACGAAAAAAGCTGTACTAGCCAACCCAACCCACAGGCTTGCAACAGAGTGAATTCTTACACACACCTTTATACTCTTCCCTCTTTCTCGTGTCATGGATATCCAAACTCCAAATGGCAGAAATTTTCTCAGGCTGCAAAAGAGACATAGCAACGTTCTGTGTTGCAACAGAGCTCAGACAAAGAAAAGGAATCAAGAGAATGGAGCAGGATATGTCCAGGCTTACAATAGATTTCGTTTCTATACCTTGACCCCTCCAGTGCCATGGAGATGCAAACTCCAAATGCCTGAAATCTGTGTAGGTTTTGATTGTAGTATGAAAGTGCTCTGTGCACTGGGCTGGAGAAATGAGGAACAAAGAAAACAAAACAGGACATGTTTGTGGGGGATTATGTAGTACTCCATTAAACCTAAGGGAAAGAGCCCAGCATCTGACTAGGACTCGTTCTCTACGCCTAGAATCCACTTCAGGTAAAGACCTAGATTGGTGCATAGCCCAAATAACCCAGTCTGGGAGGAGGCTGAGATGTTTTTAGATCCAATCCCCAGGGAAACTGTCATCCAAGGAGACAGAGTCTAAAAGTGAATAGGAGAAAACAAAGGAGAAAAAGACCAAAATTACTACAGATCTCAAGAAGGAGAAAACTCAGAATCCTTGAGTATTAGCAGATAAACCAACGAGAAAGACATCAACAGCAGAAGAAAATATAACCTCCAGATCTAGTAAATGAGTTCAAGCATCTATGAATAATGCTGCAAAAGAAAGGAAAATGATTCAACACCTGATGAGTTAGAGGACCCTGTGGATTTTAAGGAGAGGGTGGAACCATAGCCTGCTGCTCCTGAATATTTTAAAAAGAGAAATAAGAATTGTGAGAGCAAAATTTATGGCCTGCAAAGCAGAAATAATTGGCAAAATAGAAAGCTTGAATCTGCTGTGACATCTCACTAAAGAAACAAAAGAAAGGATAACTGATTGGGAATGGAGACACACAGAAGCAAAGGACAATCTGGAAGAAGAGAAGCACGAAGCAATAATATTAGGAGAAAGTATGTTCTCACCATGTGGAGTAAAACATTCTGATCTCAAAGACAGCCTGCTTCTAGATATCTTAAAGATGATAGGTCTCTCAGAAGTGCATATCAAGTCAAAAAACCTGAATACTATAATGCAAGAAATAAATCCATAAAACTGCCCAGATGAGATAGAAATCCCAGATCTTCTAAACACAGAAAACAAAGTGCCCATTGAAAGAATCCATAGATCACCTCCAGTAACTAATGTGGAATGGAACCACTGCCATGTGTTAAGAGTCACTGTGTCCCAAGTCATGAAGTCTGATCTTAAATCCTACCCTTACCATAATCAATCTCTACCCTTAAAAACAGGATATGCTGGCTCTGGCTCTGTAACACCTACCCTAAAACTCCGGGTGATAGCTGTCCTTGGAGACACAAAAATCCTTTCTTTTGAAGTGGGAGGGATTCATGAGAGGTACAACTCTTTCTCAGAGAAGATGGTCTCCTAATGCACAAATTCTGGCTCCCCATGAAGATAAAACCAATTATAAGACACTTTTCTCTTATCATAGACATATATCCCAACATGGCAAAATTTTTCTGTGGCACCCTTCAATTCACCCTCTGGGTTGAAAACCATCTGCTCTTCTCCATTTCAATCATTACCATTCATTGTTTTGGTCCTGTTCTCTCACAGCTTATTGTCTTGCTGAAAGTAAGGAAATTACTATTCCTTCTCCCCTTATCCCTGGACTGGGTAGAGATTCATGTCCAACAACTCTCTCCCTGCGTGAAACTTCCTGCTGTGTTGTCCCTTTTACAAAAATGTACCAACTTACTTATAGAGAACCATAGGATTTAGTCTATGGAACATTAATTCAGTTCGCTCTTCCTCCCTCTTGATTAAATTCCCCTTAAATTTTTAAACCCATAGGGTATGTGTGTAGGTGGGTGTGGGTGTGTGTATTTTGATGATCCCACTTTGTTCTTTTTTTTATCCTTCAGTTCAGTTTCTTTTCCTCTCTAAACTATAGCCTAAAAATATTGGAAAATTCATTTAATTACTTTTTTTCTGATAGATTCTATTTATTTGCCTTTTTTGCATTTCTCTTGTTTGGAGAATTTTCAAATAGAATGTACAGCTCATTTCCAATCTTTTTTTTTTCTTTTCAGGGAAGGAGTAACTAGTTCTTGTTTTTGCAGGAATGATTAAATATCTCTCTTTTATTTGATGTTCTGTTTTCTGTGATTAGATTCAATTTGGCAGAAAATGTTATTCTTAATAGTAGCTTAAAGATTTTTCTTATTCCATTCTTTTCTTCATTTTCTTATGACTGCAAAGTAATACTGGATTATCCAAACTGGCATTCTTTTATATCTGAAGGCCATTCTTCTTACCTCTTAAAAATATTATTTGCTATTGAAATTGTTGAATTTAACTACCACATGCCTTGGTGTTTCTAGTATACTTGGCTTTTTTTTTTCATGGTAATGATTTGTGGATTTGATTGATCAATGCTTTGTTGTCCTAATTTAAAAGTTATGTATCATTTTCTAGAAGTATTTCTTGCAATATGGCAATTAAGTTTTTTTTTTAATTTAGCATGTTCTTGGATCCTTAAAATATCTCTATGTTTCTTGTCCTCCAGGTCACTTGTTTGGCTTAGATAGATTCATGTGTTCATTTAAAGTTCTTGTCTTTTACTCCTTTACTGTGAAATTTTCTTATAATCCTGAATTTTTGTCTTCTAAAACTATAATTCTCTCTTCCAGAGGATGCATGTTTTTATGTGGATTTTCTATCACATTTTCTATTTTTTCTATGCTGTTGTTCATTTTAATTCCACACTGAGGCCTCTAATTCCTGACCTAATTTCATTCCTAGTATTTTCTTCTTAAAGTTTTATTTCTCTTTTGAACCATTCTGCAGCTTCTTACTGTTGTTTCATGTTTTTTGGAGAGTTTGCAGAGTTCTTTTTTTTTGCATCAGGTATTTTTTCAAAATTAGTTTTCTTTCATAGTATAAAAACTATTCATTGTGTCCTAGCTTATCTTTGAATTTTTACTAATTTTCCTTCTTCCTTCATGAGTTTCTCTGGTGGTATATCTGCCTATGAACTAGTTTTATACACAGTTTTCTCTATTTGATGTTTGGTCTTCCAGTCTTTCTCTTGTATTCTCAGTATCTTGTCTATTTTTCTTCTCATTCTTTGGCCTCTCCCACTTCCACCGTTGCATGTATGCCCAGATTGGGAATCCTTAACCTTCTTGTGTTGTAAACTTTAAGGTGCTAAAAGTAGTCCCTGCTCAGAGTACGCTTTGCAAGGGAGAGGACTCACCCCATCTGAGTTTATAATGCCCTTTCACTTGGGCATGGAAGCTCTTTATGCTCTAGCCAGCTCTGTGTCCCACATCTTCAACTCCACCACCTTTAGTTGCTCTCCCATTCCTTTGTGTGGCTAGACAGAGTTAAATGGTTACTGACACATGATGCATGTGGAGGGGCTACTAAGCCACTGCCATGGAGGGATCTGTCAGGGACCTCCTACAGTCATGTGGTGGATGAAAGATGAAATGACTGAGGAAACAAAGGTTCAAGCTTCCAAGCATATTGATTTATTAAGCAATGCATGTCAATTGCATAATAAATCAGGACCAGGCCTTCCTCAGCTTTGGCACTAGAACCTGAATACAGGGAGAGATAGATTTTTATGCATTAAGGACAATCAAATGAGACCAATTAATTAAAAGAAAGCAACTAACAGGGTATGAACCAGGATACAAAATTAGGTGATCTGATTTCTGAGAAAATATTAGGGACTTTCTAAATTGGGAGGAGAAGAGCAAATGAGGGCAATTCCCTGAAATCAGAAAAAGAATTGTCCTACTCCCGCCAAGTGACTGCATTCAATCAAACGAACATGGAAACAATAACTGATTGACCAGTATGGGGCCAGTTTTAAAACAAGACATATGGGTTGCTTGAGATATATAATTGTGAGAAAACTCCTTACATTAATCTTCAGGTCTGAATGGGTTTCTGGTCAGCAAAACCTAGGTCCTTTAATTAAGGGTCTCCAAGCAGCAGGTAGAGGTGGTCCAGCTTCCCAGACACACAAGGCTAGGTTCAAACAATGCAACAGAATTTTCTGACAATTCCCACAACTGAGTAAAGTTTTCTCACAAGACAGAAATTGAACTAGACCCATAATTGAATAAAAAGGGAATCGAACTAGTTCCAGAAGTGAGTCACAAGATAAAGTCAATGTGGTTCACCCACCAATTCCCACTGCCACTTACTGTTTTAATTCTTTCAATACTTCAGCTATATTTGGTCCGTGGTATGGACTGGAAGTAGGAACACTAAGTGGTAGCTCTAAATATTACACTTGTTCAATATTATTTAATGAGATTTTTACCTTGTGAAGTTTTCTGCCTTATGTTTTGTGGGTTCAGCTTTAGTTACTCTAAATCTGGCATGTAATTCCTCTTTCTGAGATTTTCTTATTGGAAAGATTTGTTGAAAACAACTATTCTACCATCTTTACAATCAAATGACCAGGAAGGGACTCTAGCTCCTCATATTATTGTCTCTGGAAAACCTATTCCTTCCACGTTCACTAGGAAGGAAACATTTTTTAAAGTACCTACTACTCACCAGGCACTGTGCTAAGCCCTTTACAATTATTATCTCATTTGGCAGGTAGGTGCTATTACTATTCTTATTTTACAACTGAGGAAACTAAGACAGACAGAGGTTAAATGATATGCCCTGGGTCATACAGTTAGTTAATATCTACTTTGAACTTGTTTTTTTTTTTATCCCAGGCCCAGCATTTTATCCTAGCTGCCTCTTGATGTAGCTGTTGAGGGAATAAACTATTTAATTATCTTCTAGATTATCTACTAGATTGCTAGATTATAAAGCTATGTCTATTTAAGTCACTCCATTCTCTGTTAGCATAAACCTAACTATAAGTAGGCACTTAATGGACAAATTTTTGTGACATTGATATTACTATGACGTTGAAATAATGCTGGTAATAGTAAGAATGAGGACCTAGCAGGACAAACTGTCATCCTTTTACCATACTCTTGGCACCAAGCTTTCTAGAGAAAGTTAACACTACCTTTGTGATGCATAATATTTTACAACTGATTTATTATTACCATACCCATATTTTAAAACCAAACGGATTGGTTTTAACCTGTCTCAGATGTTCCACCAGGGTCAAAGCCTTAAAAAGCTCTCACTCGAAGTGCCTGACCTCCAACTCTTTTAAAGCAGACTACTTAGGATGCAACACTGGTCATTCAGT